GCTGGACCTTCCCTGAGAGCTGAGAGTGGAAATTGCATTTTCACAGCATCACCCAGGAGCTGCTGGCAGAGCACAAACTGCTGGACCTTCCCTGACAACACAGAGTGAAAATTGCATTTCACAGCATCACCCAGGAGCTGCTGGCACAGCACAAACTGCTGGACCTCCCCTGACAGCAGAGAGTGCATCTGGACATAAATGAGATGAACCCGGAGTTAAAAACTGCATTTCACAGCACCACCAGGAGCTCCTGGCAGAGCACAAACTGCCCTGACAGCAAAGAATGCATTTGGACACAGTCAGGATGAACTCGGAGTTAAAAATCGCATTTTCACAGCATCACACAGGAGCTGCTGGCAGAGCACAAACTGCTGGACCTTCCCTGACAGCAGAGAGTGAAAAATGCATTTCACAGCATCACCCAGGAGCTGCTGGCAGAGCACAAACTGCTGGACCTTCCCTGAGAGCAGGGAGTGAAAATTGCATTTATACAGCATCACCCAGGAGCTCCTGGCAGAGCACAAACTGCTGGACCTTCCCTGACAACACAGAGTGAAAATCACATTTTCACAGCATCACCCAGGAGCTGCTGGCTCAGCACAAACTGCTGGACCTTCCCTGACACCAGAGAGTGCATTTGGACACAGTCAGGATGAACCCAGAGTTAAAAATCGCATTTTCACTGAAGTGCACTCTGCTTCTCTGTCTATGGCTGTTTTCACATTTTCTTTAAGCTGCTCGACCTCCCCTGACAGCAGAGAGTGTATCTGGACACAATTGAGATGAACCCAGAGTGAAAAATCACAAATTTTCACTGAAGTGCACTTCTCTGCTTCTCCGTCCATGGCTGTTTCCACATTTTCTTCACAGCATCACCCAGGAGCTCCTGGCAGAGCACAAACTGCTGGACCTTCCCTGACAGCAGAGACCACATTGAAACACTGTCAGGATGAACTTAGAGTGAAAAATCACATTTCACAGCATCACCCAGGAGCTCCTGGCAGAGCACAAACTGCTGGACCTTCCCTGACAGCAGAGAGCGAAAATTGCATTTATACAGCATCACCCAGGAGCTCCTGGCTCAGCACAAA